CCACCGACAATAGCCAGCTAGCAAGATGGGGAAAAACAGGAGCTGGGCCTTTCAAGACCTAAGATAGCTGGAACTAAGCCTGGGCTACCATACTGTCAACTTGCCTGGCGGAAGCGCATGTGGAAGAGACCGTGGAAAGGGCTGGAACATGCCAGTCATTTGTCTCACAAACACTGCTCACACACTGTGAGCACGGACAAGGGGGAAGGAGATATTGGGCATCTGGAGTCTGCTGACCGAGCTCTCACTATCTAATCTTCATAGACAGAGTGGCAAGGGTGCAGATTGGAGGCCTCGATAGATATCACCTATCTTGAGATCCGTTAGGCCATTGTTCATGCTTCATGAGGAACCTCCCACCACCCTCAAGCCTGGAAATGGAAGAGATTTGTCCAAGTCTGGCCTAGACAAGCATTTCAAGTGCCACCCAAATAGGTGGACCTCAGAGTGGCCTCCTAGAGCTCAGGCTGGTTGATGGGGGTCAGAGGATGGAGAACTATCAGGCTTTCCAAGGGCAACTAGGGTGGTGGCCAAAGAGCTCGGCAAAGATAGAGGATCGGGGTCCATAATGCCCAAGGAGCCCATAGAAGGGACGGGAGATGGAACCCAATGAGGGGCCCAGGACATAGCAGGCAGAGAGCTTGTCTTTCTTCCTTCCTTCCTTCTTTCCGTCATTCCATCCTTCCTTCCGCCTCACCCTAAATTGGGTTGTAGATAAGCTCATCCCATCCACCAAAGGAGAAGGAGGTTGGACTGGTAGGGTTTGGGCAAACATAAACCCAAAGACAGCCTCAGCAGCAGCACTGAGATCTCTGCCCACCACATTCTGCCTTCTCCCCAGGCTGCAATCCCAGGGTGATGAGTCTGAAAAACCTGGAGGACAGAGGAGAGGTTAGGGGAAGTGACATGAGAACGGGCGTAGGTCTGAATGTGTCCTTGGATTGGGGCTTTTCCAGACCCACATTTCCTGGCTGCCTTTCTCTGGACTCTGAACGAAAACTAGGCAGGTGGCTCAGTCCGCAGCCTGAAGCCTCCAAAGTCAGAGAGAAGAAAGAAGATTTGGGCATTGAAGGTGTGGGTTAAGCCTGCCTACTAGCTACCTGGTGAGTACTGCTATTCCCGACCTTCTGAGAAACCCAGACTCCTTGCCATCACGGAGCTCCTAGAGAAAGAACCCAAAGCCTTGTGCCGAACTTGACATTCTGGGAGATCCCAGTTCCCCTTCTAGAAGCACCAGACCCCCTTAGTGATGCCAGTTCAGTGTGGCTTTCCCTGCTCGTCTAGAGTGTCCTCTGGGACCCTCCCTTCCCCAGCACCCTGCACAAGCAGGAACACCAACCTTCCATTTAAAGGCAACTGTGCTGAGCCCTTCCTGCCAAGCCTTCTCACTCAGCCCTCGTCTGCTTTAAGCCTCCAAAGAGCATCTTCACTGTCCCTGGCTCCACGACAACGTCACTGCTATCAGTCTCCTGCGCCGTCTCTGGAACCGCAAGTTCTGTGTAGATCCTACACTGTAGAGAGATGGGGTTGGCAGTGATATGGAATCAAGGACCCCCCAAAGGGGGAAGCACCCTGCTTGCCTGCCCACTGTGACCAGAAATGAGCCTCACAGCACCACTACGCCTTGAGACAGACTATGGATGAAAAGAAATAGCCCCACGCTATGAGACTAAAGAGAGCTAAGGGGGGGGGGTCTTCCTGGAGGTGTCATCGTGAAGCTGGGTTCATGAAGAGAAGTCTGCCATCCAATCTGAGAGGCAGAGTGTGGCAAGGACCAGAATTCCCAGTAGCCCTGGTACTGGTCCCTGCTCTGCTCCCCTTAACCCTTTGGGCATCTGAAATAGGAGGCTGACGAAGGAAGTACCCTTGGGTACAAGGAGGTAGCAGAATCCAGCTCAGTGAGAGGCAACAATAGATGAGGTTGTACTGTGACATCTATATGCACACAAGTACACGTACACACTCACACGTGTGCCCACACAAGTACACACACACACAAAAGACAATGATTGCAGAGAAACTGGCAGGCACTGGCAGGTGACATCCTGGACAGCCTCTGAGCGAAAATTGGAAGATACATCTGGAACCCAGTGGGTTTATTACATCCTGGCCAGTGAAGTGGCCCAAGAGATTTTGTGGAACCCGATAAGATAGACACCAGCACACAGCAAAGATGATGATTCCAGACGGAGACAAGCTGTGTATCACAGGGAATTGTGCTCACACCAGGCAGAGTCTAACTTCCCAGACCTTCCAGATGGACCACACCATCTGATGTGGGGGACAGCTCCACAGGTCTATCCAGACAGGCACCAATCGGCTTATGTTAACTCCATACAAGGGCTTCTGTGAGCTTCCTGATGACCTGACACACTGCCCTTCCAAAGCCAGCAGAGGATAAACTGCTCAATAAGAAAACCGGTTGTGTAAAACCTGGGGCCTAGAAAGAAGCCGGCTAACATAGCCTTAGGACTTGGGACAACCCTCTCTGACTCTATAAAACTAAGATCTGGGAATGTAGATTCCAGTCCACAATCCCATGTATATGATTTCTCATTTAAGACCCCCTTACCAGACACTAGGCTGTGTCGAATCGACAGTTAGAACTAGCCAGTCCACACAGAGACTTGGTGTTAGCCTTTCCCCCTCTTCTAACCCCCGGCCACCATCTCACCAAGCTGATGAGCCCGGCATGGCCACCTTCCTCCATCAGACCCCGCCGGGACAGACAGACATGAGACATTTTTCCTCTTTACTCCATCTGCCTGCTGTAAGCTAAGAGACCCTGATACAAAGGACTTGGCTGGACACCAGGTGTCGGGAAGTCCTTTGCTAGGTCTTGTCCAGAGTTTGGTAACCAAGAGGTGGCGGTAAATGTATAGACTCCTCTGTGCAATTCAGTTCTCTTCTTCACAATTCTCATCTACTAACAGATTAATAAAATCTACTAATGATGTAAGATGGAGGGCCAGGTAAGAGGGAGGTAGTAGCCAGATGGCTGACCCAATCCCCCAGTCCCATACCCCACGGCCCATACCCCACATTTATACTAGTTCCCAGGTGACTGCCCCTCTAGTCCTTGTTCCACCCTCTGGGGACTCTGCTGTCCACCCCTGCAGAGCAATCTCCGGATAGAGAGATACCCTTGAGTGGTGACTGCCAGCAAGTGGGCAACTCCAAACCCCTGATTCACGGAACAAAATGAGAACAATGAGTAGATACGTTCAAAGTGTTCAGTCCGGAGGAGTAATTTGCTCCAGTGAGGGAATTTCCTTCTCTTCAGGTTTTGGAAATGCCAAGAAACAAAAATTTGTGTATGATCAGATATCCTAATCAGAGCGTGGCACGCTTACCCATGAACACCTCAGAGAGAAAGCTTACGGTTCCCCTTGATAGGAGCCATGCTCAGACTTCTCAAAAGACCATTTATTTTGGCTTCAGTTTAAGAAAAAAAAACCCTTATGCCACAGATATATAAGCACCAGCATTTGGCTCACAATGAGTGTGTGCCCTGCGTGGTCTTCTCTGTGTTACTCACAGAGGTCCAGGGGACAGACCCAGGCTGGGGGGCGGTGCCCCGCTCTGCCCTCCACAGGGTATGCCCCGGTCTCCACGTCCTGGTCTCCACGTCCCGCCTGCCTGCCACAGCTGGTGAATCACTCGGACGGTAGTCTGTGCACTTTCCCCATTATCCTATCCCCGGGAGCTGACTGAAAAACCAGTAGCAGCTGGCAGGAAATGGGTGCGAAAAACTGACCACAGATAAACTGCAAGGCTCTACAGGAGCGGCAGATAGAGTCCAGAGCAGGAAGTTAGGCCAGCAGGACTCCAGGCCAGGCCCCAACAGGACTCCAAGACCCACCATGGGGACTTCACAGCGAGGCCGGGATCCACCCGACACAAGCTCAACCAGGCACAGCCATATCCACTGGAAGAGAAGGGGACCTCAGAGAAATGCCCAGCCCACTCCTGGCCTCTGGGGCTCCCAGGTTCCCACAGTCACGGACAGAGGCAAAAGCTACAATAATTTGCATGTGATGGACTAGTAAGGCAGGGGCAGACACTCACGGAATCAAATTAACAGTAACCCATGAACTCTCTAATGAGGGTCCCAGCAGAGGAAAAAAAAAAAAAGACCTGTTGTAAGGCAAGGAAGGACCAAGGTTCAAGAAGTACATGGGGATGGTGATAAATCCAGAGGCTCTGACCCCCAGTTCCCTACAGCTTCTCAGTAGACTCAGCACCATGGCAACTCAGAATTATACAAACCTTGATCTTTGGGCAGCAGAACAGACCCTTCCCATCTGTGGTCCTCACTAACGCTCATAAGCATCCTAGGAGATGGGTCAGGTTATCCTGGATGTACAGAAGAGCAAATAGAGACCAAGGACTCTGGTAGCTGTAGCTCTGCACGGCATGACCTGTACTCCAGGTGTGTGAGCAGTGTCCTCCCTGGGCCCTGGATGCCAGGGGCCTCTCTTCACAATGAGCCATCAGTTGCTAAGGAAGAGCAGCCAGCTGGAGAGCTACTGCTTATGCCTGGCCCTATAGCTGAATAGCACCCGGAGGCACTAGTATTTCAAAGCGTCTTCTCAGTGGCCCAACTAGACAGCACCGCTGGCAGCCCCTTCTCTGATGGCATCCACTCTCTCGGCACCCAAAGTAGATCCAGTCGCTAGCTCTTCCAAGAGCCTCCACGGCAGGAAGTGACCAAGTCCTGAGCCACCAGCTTCACTGTGACAAGTCTGTGACACGCTGCCATAGCAAGGAGCTGCAGCTGCAGCTGCGCTTGAACTTGTGACTGGCTGCTGTCCCTTGGAAAGAGAAGGGGCACATCTGGAAGGGTGGACCTGAACGCCCATGAGGCTTAGGGTGAGATCCCTTTCCTGTGTGGAGAGGGTTGCAGAGAACACCTTCCCCGTGAGCAGGTGGCCCCCTGTGCTGGGCCCCTGGGCTATTGCTTGGGTTAACAAGACAGGCTTCAGCTGGGTCTGACTCACTCTCGTTCCTGGAACTGTCTGAAGGCGGGAGAGGATGCTGTGGGTAGGCTCCAACTGTATCATCTGGGCTGGGGCCGGTAGCAGATGGTCCTAAAAAAAAAAAAATACTTCCATGTGGGCTTAAAATAGCACAGTGTTCACCAACAGCTGAATGGGGAAATGTATGAGTTCGTTCTCACGGGAGTGGGCATCGTGGGCTTCTGTGAAGGAATAAGGGACCTAGGCATCAGCTGTGGCCAAGAGAAATCTTGGTGCCCACCCCATGCTTGGCCTCACTTTGTTAGGTGGCTCACAAACATAGCAATTCCAAGGCCTCGGGACCCTTCCAATGGCTGCAGTGTGCCTTGGAGAAGCCGGGGACCCATACACAACTGAGAAGTTAGACCTGGGGACAGCAATGAGAAATCCCGCCTTCATCAGAGTCAGGAAGGTACAGACACCCACAAGGGGTCCGAACGTTATTGTGCTGGTCCGGAGTCTATCTCTGTCCTTGAGCCCGGAAGAATGTGGAAACCGGACCCAGGTTCTACCCCCACTCCTCCGCCCTACCACACCGAGAGAAGCTCTCGCATCCCCCTCACAGTATACGTCGGGGTCAAGTTACTTCCTCTTTGCACCTCAGTTTCCTTATCAGATGGAGCAAACACGGGGACCTGCCCTGGGAGAACCCCGCCATATGCAGGTGCTCTACAGAGGGAACGCGGCATGGCCTGTCTCTTGGGGACCGGAGGGGCCTCTGCCTCCCCTGTCACTTTAAGCGACACCTCAGTCCATCCTTAATTCGCACTATGTGCTGGCAAGCAGAAATGTCAACTCTGAGAGGCTGGTGCCCACCCCACCCTCTCTCCCTCGGCGGCTGCTGTGTTATGTGGAGGGAAAGAACCAGAGGTCACTACAGTTTACTCCACACTCAGAAAGGGCGTGGTAAGCAGCCCTGACGCCCTCCTGCTGCAGACCCCAAGAGCCCAGGAAACAGGAGTCTGGGCCACCACTGCCTTTGAGAAACAGAAGACTTCCAGACCCACGGCATAAAAGAGAAGGCTTCAAGGCTGCCAGAGGCCTCCTGACACCCAATCCAGACAGGGGGCTTGTCTAAGGTAGAGGTTTCCTCTGAGCAAGCCTCAGTGTTCCTAGGTCTTAGAGGTGAGGCGTGGATGTGCAACCATCAGCTCCAGGGAGTAGGGGAATTAAAAGTAGCTCTGCTTGTAGCTTGTGCCAATTTATATGGCGTAAACCCCCCTGCCTCGGCCAATTTCATCACTAAAGGCAAATTTAGGACTAGCAAAGCAGAGTCAACTGCCCTGAGCACCCAAGTCTCACGCTCATAGCATATTAGAAGACAGCTCTTCCTACTTATAGACTTCTATCTTCTCAGGGGACCAAGAAGAGGCAGTGACCGGTCTAGGCTCGAGGCAGGAGGACCAGAGGGTTGCTGAGTGTTACAGATTGGGTATGAGAAGTCCCCCCTCCCCCAGGCTCCTGCGTTAGAACACTTGATCGCCAGCTGGGGGTACTATCTGAGAAGTTTCTGGAACCTTTAAGAGGCAAGGCTGTGATGGCTTTAATAAGAATGACCCTCCTGGGCTCCTATATTGAATACTTGGTCCATGGTTGGTGGAACGGTTTGGGAAGGATTAGGGGGTGTGGCCTTAATAGAGGAGGTGCGCCACAGGGCTCTGAGGTTTGAAAAGGCTCCCAGTGTTCTTTCTCCGTCACACAGTTGTGGGTCAAAATGTGAGCTCTCAGCTGTTCCTTCTCTCCACCATCACAGATTCTATACTCGGAAACCATAAACCAGAGTAAATGCTTTCTTCTCTAGTCACTTTGGTCATGGGGTTTTATCACAGCTATTATAAAGTAACTAAGAAGGGGTCTTCAGTGGAGGAAGTGGATCACTGGGGAGGCAGGCCTTGAGCGTTAAAGTCCTACCAAGTTCCTGTCCCATCTCAGCTTCCTGGTCAACAGAAATATGAGCAAATAGTCACATGTTCCTGCCACCATGTTTTCTCTACCATGACTAACTATACTTTCAAATTATCAGCCCAAATATGTCCTTTCTCTCTTAACTTCTGATCAAGTATTGGTCATAATAGCCAGAAAACTATGAAACCAGATAACTATGACTTGGAATGAATGAGAGGTTAAGGCACAGGCTCTCAGGTTGGGCGCCAATTAGCCTAGGTAAATCTCCAGTCTGTGGACCTATATGGCTTTGGGTCCTAAGTCACCCTCAGCCTTTCTACAAAAACAGAGAAGACTAGAATCTAGTTTATCATGTGGATAAAAACGATGGTTGATCACGGCCATCAATTAAATGGGTTGAGAAATGCCTGGGAAATTGCACTTCTGGATGTGTCTCTCAGAGCATTTCCAGAATCTCCAGAGAGGATTCACTGCAAATAGAAAGCTTTCCCTGAATGTGGATAGCATCATTCTCCAGGCCCAGCTGGCATCAAAGAGAAGGAGTCCAGCATTGTCCTGCTGATTCCCCGAGCTTCCTTTACAGTCCTGGTACCATGTGACTACTCATTTGTGTAGCAAATTAACACCTGGCTCTCCCACTGGGCTAAGAGTTCCCAAAGACATAGTTGACCAATATTTTGAACAAGGTCATTCTTTGCCATGAGACACTGTGAACTATAGAACATCCTCAGCTTTTACCCACTAATTGCTAGGAACACTCCAAGTCACTGAGCCAAGAATCCATGCCCTTGGTCAATGCCATTCATTGTAGGATCTGGGACTGCCTATACTGAGATCCATCTTCCTAGATGCTGGGAGCCATGAGCTCAGGCAGTCTGTCTCGGTTTGTTCAGCCCCTCAGCATCCTGTAGGAGCTCAGAACAAAGTAGATGCTCAGGAAAGGCATGATGGGAGATGGTTCTCCAGCTCCTACTCACAGGCTGCTAAGTAGGCAATGCTGATGGCAGACACGGCTCTACAAGGAATTTGACAATCGAGGTCTTAGGAGCCCAAGACCCCAAAATTGTTGTTATCTCCCCAGGGCTCAACTGGGAAGGACCTAAGCCAGCCTTCCTGCCACTTCACCTTCCCCAGCATCCCAAAGCTTTGGAGATGGGGCAGGAGGTGGAGCTGCCGATGTCTGTCTCTGGCAGCCAAGATCCTTGTTCTCCCTGCCTGCTGCCAATCTTCTTGAAGGCCTTCCCGGTGAGCGGCTGCCCAGTAAGAAGCAAACTGGAAAGCAGAGCCATGCACAGACAAGCAATTAACCCAGCTGTGGGAACGCGGATGCTGCTAGATGTTTCAGGGCAGGGCACAAATTCTTGATTCAAAACCCTTTCCTCTGGCTTCCAGCTCTCTCTGTCCACCACACTGTTGAGTTTCATCCCATCATCCAAATGCCAGACAGCCACTTCAGGGGTCCACAAAGAGCAGCTGGCTCTGTGTTCCACTCAGCCAACAAGCACATAGCCAGCCCTCACACGTGCCATGCTGTTTACTCCAGAACTGATATCCATCCTCCTGCCGTTGGCCTCCCCGGATACCTGTCTGGTTATCCATCCAACTCGACAAGATGGCTTCACACTCGACAGTGCCGGGCCCCGGTCCCACAGTATCCAACAGGTCCCCCATCTCCAGCCCTGATCCATATGGGATCAAAGCCAATGCTGTCTCTTGCCATGAGCTTGTTTTATTTAACTGAATGCCTTAGCCCATGTTGCATGTTCTGCAGAGCCATCCTACAGAGTCAAGCCGTCCATGCATCAGAGACCTTCCAAGAACAAGTTAGTGTTCTGTTTGGAGAACATGAGCGTGGAGTGAGGAGGAGAGACCAGGGAGGATTGAAGTCCAAAAGAGACATTAGACTGGGTCAGACGTAGTGATGGTAACAATGGCAAAGTCTTCTCAGGGCTACAGTATCCAAGACAATTTATAGGGACTATCTCATAGAATCTGCACAATGAACCCATGCCATAGTCGCTACTCTTGGTGCCATTTTACAGAGGAAAGGACTGAGACACACAGAATTTAACCTACTTCAGACCATGTGACTTGCAAATGGCAAAGGCAGCATTTGAACCCCTGCAGGCCAACTTCAAGGTCAATACATTGAAACAGGGAGGACAACTCAGGTGTACCAGTTATACGTAGCTGTGCAACAAATATCCCAAATGCCACAGCCAGATACAAGCAGTATGTATGATTTCCTTGTTCCAGAAATCTGGAAGTAGCCAGCTGATCTCTCTCGCGTAGGATGTTCAGGAACTGTGGTCAAGACAACATGAGGTCATCTCAGAACCGATGAGGGAACATTCAGCTCATTTGCGTGGGTCTTGACTAGAAATCTGAGTTCCTTACCACGTAGACATCTCCACAGCACAGCTCACAACATAGCAGCAAACTTAAGAAGCCTGGACAAGTGAGCCAAACACTTGTCACAGCCATCCCACAGCCTCATCATAGAGGTCGGGTACCACTGCGCTCACCATGGTCTGTTCGTGAGAGGGGAACCTAAGTCCAGCCCTAACCAGAGGAACGGAACACAGAATGAGCAGCCAATGTGCTGTTCCTGAGAGCGGACCATGAGACACTGCCCTCCTCAGGTCTGACACAGAGACAGAAGTCCACGGAAGTCCACGGAGAACAAGGAGAAACTGAGTCTTTAGTCTGAGGCTCTGCTATCCACCCCAGGAATCCCAGCCCTCACCTACCTCTGTGTGTGTGTGCGCGCGCGCATGCGTGTGTGCATGTGTATACACATGTGTGTGCATGCATATGTATACGTGTGCATACGTGTATTCATATGTGTATGTTCATGTACACGTGTGTGCACATGTGTGAGTGTGTGTGTACTTGAACACATGTTCACGTGTGCTTAAGTGTGAATCCTCATGTGAAGGCCAGAAGTCAACCTCACGTATACTAACTATATCAGGAGCTGTTCACCTTATTTCTTGAGACAAGCTTCCTCACTGGGACTTGAGGCTCACTGATTAGGGTAGTCTGGCCGATGAGTGAACCCCAGGGGATTTCCCTGTCTCCGCCTCTCTCCCAAGCACTGGAATCACAAGCTTATACCACCACACTTGAGTCTTTATGCGCGTGCCAGTGGCTGAATTCAGCCTCCTCGGTGTTGCTTTGAGCCTCAGTCTTCCTTGGAAAGGGTAGCAGCCTCCAGGCAAACTAAATTCAGACAGCCCCCCTCCCCTGCCCCCCCCCTGCCCTTCCTACAGACTAAGTGCTGAAGACTCATGCTCCTTTTCTTGGTTTCTCTGTTTGTTTGTTTTTTGTTGTTGTTTCATTTGATTGCGTTTGAGGGGTTTCGTCTTGTTTTGATACAGGAGCTTGCTATGTACCTGACCTCACACAATGCTCCTCCCGCCTCGGCCTCCGTTGTGCTGAGGTTACAGGTGTGCAACACCGCAACACCGTGCCTGGATTTTGTCTTTAAGACACATACTTCCTCGAGGCCATCTACACTCTAGGCTGTGTCCAAAACAAACCAAAAATGTTTATGTTATGTTGTTCCAGCCTCGGCCGGGAGACTTGGCACCATATCTGTTTCCTCCGGTCTGCCCCCACTCCTCCAAACAGATGCCTGCTGTCTCTCTTGAAGACACACCAAGGGCTCCCAAGCTACGGGTTGTGATTTCAGTGCAAGTTGGGACCTGGGCAGGTGGGGACTGCGGAGAAAGACCTTTGCAGTGGGTGGGTCCAAAGCGTGGCTGGTGGCAAATACGACATACAGACAATTTGAGTGCGGAGTTTATTGAGAAGAGGGTAGAAGGGAGAGGAGGAGAAAGGGGTGGGGGCAAAGGCCAGCTTGCCTCTTCAGAAGAGCAGCTGGGAAAGACAAATCAGGAATGGGTTCTAACTTGTCTCTTAAAGGAACCTTATGCACCTGCGTACAGGCTAGGACCCTGGCTGGCTACCGGATGACAGGGCAGGCCAGCATAATGCCTGAATCCTAACACTATGGTTTTCCATCGCTCTCACAGTCTCCTGTGAGGCAAAGCTCAGACATCCAAGTCATTTGCTCAGAGACTATCCATGGCTCCCTGTGGTCAAAACACAGGACCCCAACTGGAAACCGGTGTTCAGGATCAATGACCCTGTAGCCCAAGCCGCACCCTGAGACACATTACGTCATTGAAATGATCTGCAGGCTCCCGACCTCCTGTCTCCGCGCCATCACCCCACGGTTCCCTAGCTTCCAGTACTTTACCTGACCCTCTTTTCTCTCGTAGGTCCTGGTCTTCCCTGAATGTCAACTTCATGCCCCATCTTCTCTGAGTCTCTACCCAACACTGGACTTCACAGGATCCAAGGTGTCCTCAACTGTGTCATCTGAGCCTCCGCACTACAAGAATACACAGAAGGGTCTGTGTGAGTGTCCTTCCCTATATCTGCACTGCCTTGACCTGGCTGTCTGTCTGAGGCACCTGCACTTGGCCCCCCCAGTCCTTCCTTCCTCAAGTGACTCTCAGTGTTCTTCTCTGTGAACGCCTGCTCCTCTGTGGCTCAAGGCTGGACAGTCAGATTTCTGTGTCCCCTAGCCCTTCTCCCTAGACACTCTCTCCCCTGTCACTCATGCCAGGCACAAAGACATCTTTTCAATTGCCAACCACAACTAAAAGTCCAAGGGTGTTCATGGCATCCCTGGGGAACCATACTGAGCCATTGAGAGAGCACTGGAGGGCAAGGTCATGGAGGGAAGATGAGTCCCTGGCGTGGGAGGTCCTTCTATCTATGTGTTGCTTTTATTGGTTAATGAATAAAGGAACTGCTTTGGGCCTATAGCAGAGCTATAGGGGAACAGAACTAGGTGGGGAAAACTAAACAGAATGCTGGGAGGAAGAAGGTGGAGTCAAAGAGATGCCATGGAGCTGGAGATAGATGTGCTGAAAATTGCTGGTAGGCCATGACCTTCTTGTGATGCACAGATTACTAGAAATGGGTTAAATTAAGATGTAAGAATTAGCCAATAAAAAGTTAGAGCTAATGGGCCAAGCAGTGTTTTAACTAATATAGTTTAGGTGTGATTATTTCAAGTTTAAGCTAGCTGGGCAGCGGGAACGAACAAGCAGCCCCTCTGTCAACAAGTCCCTCGCCTCATGCTGAGGAGAGTCTGCTCTGTCTCAAGGGCAGGTGCAGGTAAGCAGGGTAAGGGCTGAGCAGATCCACAGTGGCCCTGTCTACACAATTACAGCCCCCTCCTGTCACCAGCCTCCTGAACCTCCTGTCCACCAGGCATGTTCCTCACTGCCAGGATGCTTTTGAACCTCACATCCATACCCTGCTCACCCCTAAACACTGGTACCCATGTTATATTTGCTTTCATGTATTTTGCCAAGGAGAAGGCAGGTCCAGTGGTCCCTGAGTCAAATCCCACCAGACCGAGACAGTTTTCAGAAAAGGCAGAAGTTGGGCCTGGGAAAGCTCACCGCTTGAGCAGATGGGGTGTGCCTTGGCTCCTGGAAAGTCCTCAGCGGCCAGGTGCCTTTCTGGAAGTCCCCTAAGTGTTCAAACTGAGGCCGGCAGCTTCTCCCACATGGTTTTGGTCTCAGGACTGCTTGATAAAGCTCTTTAAAGTACTGGGCAGCCCAAAGGGTTTTTGTTTGTATGGGATGTTTGTTGACCCAAATGTATATCAATTTGGGTCAAAATAAAAATAATTAGAAGGGCTGGGGTATGGCTCAGTTGATAGAATGTTTGCATAGAATGTGTGAAGCCCTGGGTTGTTTCCAATATTGTATTTGCTAGGTGTGCTGGTGCGTGGCTATAATCTCAGCATAGAGGAAGTCAGCCCAAAGGTTCAGAAGTTCAAAACTATCACCACCTACAAGATAAGTTCCAAGCTGGCCTGGGATACATGAAACCCTAATTCAAAATATAACAACAACAACAACAACTATAACTAGAGCTGGGCCCGATGGCACAGGCCTGTAATCCAAGACACTTAGGAGCTTAACACAGTGGGATCACAAATTCCCAAGTTCCAAGGACAACCTAAGCCACTTCGCTTACCTCAAATTAACAGGTGCTTGGTTTGGTTTGGTTTTTTAATGAGCTCTGGGAGATAGGATGTAGCCAAGTGGCAGCATGCTCATCTAGCATGTGCAAGACCCTGGTCTCAATCTCCAGCACCCCCCAAAATGATCGATCATAGTCATGATTAAATCCATTACACATTTGAGTGAATTTTGTATTCCAAGAGTAACCATTCTCCAAAGTGCTGGTGAGAATCATTCTTGTGCTCATGCTCGTCCAGAACTTCTAAACATATGACTCATTAGGAAAGCCCTGGTCCTAACTCAGTTCAGGCTGCAGGATTCTTCTATGTAGATGCAGTGCAGGAAGAAAACTGAGCCCCAAACAATAGTCACCGGTAGATTGCTTCTTCATCGTTGCTCTAACACTGGTAAGGTAGCATCTCTTACAGGTGAATGGTACTCCAGAATTCCTTCACTTGTTGTCCCTAATGTTAAAACAGGGCCTCGCATAGCCCAGCCTGGCCTTGAACTCTCTTTCTTGCTAAAGATAACCCTGCACTTCTGATCTTCTAGCCTCCACTTCTCATTCAGGTGCCCAGATTACAGACATGAACAACCGCACCCGATTTTACACAGCTTTAGGGGGACCCGAATCAGGGCCTCCTGCATACCAGGCTGAGTCACAACCCAGCCCTGATATTTTCATACATGGTGACATTAAAATCCATTAGCCATTATGCACTGTGAATAGGCTGGTTTTACCCATTCATGATTCTGCCACATTGTGAGTTAGTCATTGGGCAAATATTGATTCACTGAGTTATGCAGAGCGAGGGGAGTGTTGACACATTCCACTGCTCAGTCACGGCACTCACAAACACAACCACTGCTGTATTGGGGGAAGTCTCTGCGTGCTAGAGATGTCTTACCCTCGCGGGGTGAGGAGGGGCTTTCTAAAAGTCAGGTCTCAACTTGAAACCTTCGCTTCTCTGATTGACAGCAGGTGCTGTTAGTGATTTCTCTTGAATCAGCAGGCTCAGTTTCTTTTCAAAAGAATGCCTGAGCCAGGCCTAGTGATGTAAACTTTAATTCCATCTATCTAGAAAGCTGTGGCAGGAGAACAGCCTAGGCAACTTGGTGAAACCCCTATAGCAATGTTTAAAGGTGGGGGCTAGAGAGAGAGAGAGAATTCAGTGGTTAAGAGGATGTACTCCTCTTGCAGAAAACTCAATACCTACAACAGGCAGCTAACAACTCACTAAAACTCCAGATCCAGGGAAATCTGACTCCCTCTTCTGGCCTCTGTGAGGAATTGCACTTGCATGCACATACCTCAACATAGACACACAGAGAGAGAGACGCCACACACACAGACACACTTTTTAAAATTAAATCTAAAATAACATCTTTAAAAGGTTATGAATCTAGACCCATGATAGTGTATTTGCCTAATATACCCAATACCCTGGGAAATGAGGAGAGAGATTGGGAGAGGAGGAAGGGGAAAGGCAGGAGGGAAAGAGGAAGAGGGAGTGAATCTCTGTGAGTTTGATACCAGCCTGGTCTACAAGAACTAGTTCTAGGACAGCTATGTCTGTTACACAAAGAAATCCTAGAGAGAGAGGGGGGGGGAGGGAGGAACAAAATGCAAAAGGAGAACACGGGATTTGAATAATCTAGCTTGATTTGGTTCGTTGTTTTAGTGTTTGGGTTTTTTAAGATTTATTTTTATTTTATGAATATAGGTATTTTGCACACATGCATGTATGTATGTATGTGTCCACCACATATATGCAGTGCATCAGGAAGCCAGGACAAAGTTCTGGATCTCCTGAGAATAGAGTTACACACAGTTGTTAGCTGTCATGTGAGTGCTGAGTTTTGAACCTGGGTCCTTGGGAAGAGCAGACAATGTTCTTAACCACTGAATCATCTCCACCCACCCTTCCCCTCATCCACCCTTCCCCCCACCTTTCTGAAAGGACCACTCACTTGGTCATGGCTGAAGATCCCACCACTGGAGATGCTGGAAAGTACCCCCAAGACCTCTGTCTCCAAGACACACAGATTAATCCTGGGGTAGAGATCTAGAACAATTGTCTGAAGTTTCTGTCCTGCCCAGTCCTGTAGTCGTTAAGTTCCAAAGAATCACACAGAGGTCTACATTAATTATAGACTGATTGGCCCATTAGCTCAGGCTTCTTATTAACTAATTCTTATAATTTACATTAGCCAATAAATCTTGTATGTGTTAGCCATGTGGCTTGGTATCTTTTTTGGTGAGACAGTCACATTTTGCTTGCTCTGTTTCTTGCTTCCTCTACGGCTGGGTGACAACTGCAGACTGACTCTTTCCTCCTCCCAGAATTCTCCTGTTCTCCTTGTTCCACCTCTACTTCCTGCCTGATTGCTCCACCTTTACTTCCTTCCTCACTACTGGCCAATCAGCATTTACTTAAAATACAAGTGACAGGGTACAGACTACTGTCCCACAGCACTTCCTCCTTTTTTTTTTTTTTTTTTTTTTTTTTTGGTTTTTCGAGACAGGGTTTCTCTGTGGCTTTAGAGCCTGTCCTGGAACTAGCTCTGTAGACCAGGCTGGTCTTGAACTCACAGAGATCCGCCTGCCTCTGCCTCCCGAGTGCTGGGATTAAAGGCGTGCGCCACCACCGCCCGGCTCTCCCTCATTTTTTTAAACAAGAACTCTGAATTGAATCTCCTTTGTTAGCTCATCATGGCTGCAAGGTCACTGAGCATCCATGATGTGTGTGGGAACAGCCCTGGGCTCTTGGCCTAGGCACCTACTGTCTACCTACCATATCTCACTACACCAGGACCAAACAGCACCTTAAGCAGGGCACATCCTGTATTTTTACAATGGCTCTACCTCTGGACTCCCTCATAGCACACTGGGGAGATTCAGATGCCCACCAGACAGTCCTTGGAAACATTTCTATAAAATGAAGGAATCTGCTGAGCATCTCAACTCTACAGAGAATGATCTCTTATAGAAAGTCCCCAGAGCCTAACTGTCAGAGCAAGGCAGAGGGCAGGTCTCCATGGAGGAGTCCTTCCAAATGTGCCTAGGGAATCACAGTTCACCTGCACAACCCTCATAGCAGCAGGGACAGGCAAAGACAGCGGGCAGCTCGTGAATACCGGAGCAGTCACCACAAGCAGCAGGACAGAGATTGGGATGAAGAAATGGAAGCTGGGGTAGCCTTCGGGGCCACAAAGCACACTCAGCCCTGAGCCCCAGCTCCAACACTGCATGGAAAAAACAATCTAGGTACAGGAGCCCTGTCCTTTGGAGATCCGGTCAGGTGAGGTTAAATTCATGGCTCTGGAGCCATTCCTTTTCCTCTTG